ATTGTATAATTTTGAATATGAGATTTTATTAAATTTTGAACAAGTTGGGGATTGTTGAAATGTTGTTCAAAATTAATAAAATTCGGATGTGGAATGATGTAGAGTGAAAATATATTTGGAGCCACATAGTTGAACTATGCGGTTGCATAGGATTAGCCTATGTGACCGCATATAATAAAATAGTGGCCGTTATTTGATCGTTTGGTTCAAATTTTGGTAGCTTTTGGAGAGTTTTTTGGCACCACTTCGTATGTCATTGTTTCTAGGCTATATATAGGTGGTTTGTGATTAATAAAATTATGATTGAAAACATACAAAAACTATAGCCACATTTTGAGAAAAGAAATCATTCCAAAACATAGATATCTATACTTTCTTCTTCATATTCAAAAAAAAAATCCTTAGCGTTCTTGAGTTTTGGAGGATTACACTTATTGTTTGAGTGTTAATCATTTACAAGACTTGTTTAAATCCTGCAAATCATTTGTCTTAATCCTTACAAGCATTATTTCAATTCGAGAAGAAGCAAATATAGTTTGAGGACAGCGATATCGTGTTCAAGCCATTGATTTTTCATTTTCAAATCAATTTCCTGGTTTGGTGTTTGGTTCGTTGCTTTCATTGATGATCTTCATTTTTCTTGTTTTGGTTCGTTGCTTTATTCTCCGATCCCTGAGGTGGAATTCATCACATTTCCAGCCAACAACCGAGCGGCTTGCATTGAGACTCAAATTAGCTCATCATAATAAGTTAAAAATAAAATTTCAGTAGAAAAATTATTGATGAGCCACAAGTGGCTTGGCTCACCCACAAGGGACAAGCTCGCGGCTCGACTACCCCCATTTAAAAATTCGACATTTTCCCCAGAAGTAGGATACTTCCCCTCCTTTTCGGTAAGTACTAAAATAGTTACTAGATCATCAAAGTATGGGAATAAGATCCCACTATAGAGTTGAAGATAGGATATGGAGGTGAAATGATCTCCAATTTATGCATAGATAGGCTTTTGAAAATATTGAATCCATATCCTAAGTGGATAGAATGAATTGTTAGACTACTTTTCATTATATTAAGGCTTTGCCAGTTGAGAATGTTAATATCAAGTCGTCTATTTAGTGCATATCGTAAACGTATAAAAAATCCTTGGGGAAAAATGGTTATGAGTAGATGGCATTTAACAAATGACTCAAGTTGCCCTGTTTGTCACAATGGCGTGGAAACCATCTCTCATGTGTTACGAGATTGTTTGTTAACCAAAGCCTTATGGTTGAAATTCCTACCCAGCTCGAATAATGCCAAGTTCTTTAACCTCAAAGATTGGATGGTCTGTAATTTGAGAAATGTTTTTAGAGCCTGGGAAATTTTGGATTGGAGAATGCTCTTTGGGTTTACCTGTTGGTACATTTGGAAATGGTGCAACAATCTGGTTTTTAATAAAGCTCGGGTAGATTGTTCCTTGATGCCTAAAATCATTCTCCATGCAGCTCATGCTTGTGTGGCGGCTTTTGATGCTCTTGCTGCAGTTGGGGAGGTAAATGCAGTACGTAGAGAGGCCCTTATCAGTTGGATTAGACCGCCTGATGGTTTTGTTGTTTTGAATACTGATGGAGCTTTTCGCAGAAATTCTCTTTTAGCTACTGCAGGAGGTGTCTTTCGCAGTCAGAATGGGATTTGGTTGGGAGGATTTTTGGTCAAGCTGGCCATTGTAACACTTTTAGAGTGGAACTTTAGGGTATTTACACTGGTTTGCAGGAAGCATGAAAGAATGGGTGGCACAAGGTTCAGGACAATTCAGCTGTTGCTTTGATTCTCAACAAAAATTCTTTGAAGTCCATTCAGAATGGGGATGTCATATCTCGGGTCCGAATTCTTCTGCATCAAGACTAGCAAGCCCAAATTCTTCATGTTTACAGGGAAGCTAATACTATTGCTGACCATATGGCCAACTTGGCTTTTGATCAGATAGATCGTTTCATTTGGTATGATGGCCCCCTATCAAGCGCAAGCCTTCTTCTCTTTGGAGATATTATAGGAGCTGCTCGTCCACGGATGATTCGCTCATAATTTATATTCTTTGTTTCCTTT